TAAATGGTTCACCAGAAATGCAACAACCGATTTCCAAAAAGAACACCCAATTTATATTTCAACTGCAAAACAGTATTATCTTTATAGACACAGAAAAGTTGAATTTAAAAATGCAAACGAAATTAAAATAGCCTTTTAAAAACATTTTCTCTTTGGGAGGGAAGGGGTTAAATGGTGACCAAAAACTAAAGCCATTTGTAAATGTTGGGTTTTTCATGCACTAGAGTTTTGGGCGCAAAATCATCCCTCATAAGCAATGAAATTGACTGCAGCCGTGCCATTAGGTAACCTAAAAGTATTCAAGGATGAATGTTATTTTGGCAACCAAGACCATAAACTTAGCACCGCTCCAAACTGAAGAGAGCATGGCAGGGAGGATCTTGCATTCAGTCTGCAGCAAACGTTTTCCGCATCGGCGACCACTTAGAAATGAAATGGATACAGTTCAGCGCTCTTTATATTACTGTAGCTTGTTTCTGTACCGTTACAGACCTGAACAGCATATGCACCTTTAATAATATAGGCAGATATTTATGTCGTAAAGCAGTCTTGCCATTTAGAGTTCAAATTATATGCTCGATCACATGCGTACTTGTAGTTCCCGGACAGAGCCTGTAGCTTCAGCAGCTCCTTGAAGTGTTTGAATCATTGACGGGCGTAAAGCCTTTCAAGCCTCTAAACGGGTAAACCTCGCAAACCCGGTCAAGAACATACTATAATTTAAGACCATTGAGATTTTCTGGCATTACATTCATGATGATAATTAATTACACAACAGATGTCAGGTGTATTGCCTGGTCAGTTTAGAACAAAACAACAGAACCACAAACAAAATAAAAAAACATATCACGTGTATTACGGTAAGGAGAAATAGGGGGAAACATGTATCAGGTGCATTATTCTAATGTATAGTATATGAGAATTTAAGAAAAATTACACAAAAAAAAAAAAATCTGAGGTGTATTAGGGTAATGAGAATTGAGAGAAAAAAAATGGGTGCACTACAGTAATTGAGGGGAAATGCACAAAAAATTGAGGTGCATTAGGGTAGTGACAATTGGCAAGAAATGCAAACAAAAAACCCCGAGGTGCATTAGGGTAATGAGAATTGCGGCAAAACGAAAAAAAAAAAAAAAAAGCAACAAAAACCGAGGTGCATTAGGGTAATGAGAATTGGGGGAAAATGCACAAAAAAAACCCTCCGAGGTGCATTAGGGTAATGAGAATTGGGGGAAAATGCACAAAAAAAACCCTCCGAGGTGCATTAGGGTAATGAGAATTGGGGGAAAATTCCAAAAAAGCAACAAAAACCGAGGTGCATTAGGGTAATGAGAATTGGGGAAATATGCAAAAAAGAAAAACATTCATGGTACAAAAAGGGTTTATTTTTTTGGACATGTTCTTGACCGGTTTCGTGAGATTCACCCCAAATGTATCCTGAAAGATGCAAGTATAACATTGAGCGGAAAGTTTAAGTCCTGTGCAAAGCTAAATTCGGCATCTCTTTAGATGAATGTGCGTCAACAATCGCTGTCACTAATGGAGAGAAGGTGCTGAGGCACACTGGGAATGCAATGATGAAAGACTGATTAAATGAGAGGGAGAGCAAGAGAAAGAGATTAAATGTTTAAAAAGGGAGAAAAACAGTTACAGTGCTATTTCCTTCACATTTGTTGAAGAACAGCACATGTAGGTCATTTTATAAAATTGTGGCGTACTCCTCACCACCGCGAGCTGCTGTCAAACTCGCCGACAAACGCACGCTAACGCTAGTCTCCGTAAAGGCAAGCTGGTCTGGGCTGATCAAGTTCCGTCATGACTATTCTTGAAGAAGAAGTGAGAACTGAAGTAAGGTCGTGTGGTCGACGGGGATCTGAGGAATCAGGTTTAACCGCTGAGAGGATCCTCGCGATAGTGGATAGCATAGCGCAGCTTCTCCAGCATCACGTCGAGGGAAGAGTACTGCGGCAGCTTGACCATGAACATGCAGGTCTCCACGCGGATGTAACGCAGATCTGGGGAACCTGAAACAGATGGAAACACAGACTTAATAGCTTCACAACAATTCAAAACTAATGAAACCACTTTATTTAAATACTCAAGACCAATATCGTTTTAAGAAAAGATGCTTTAGAACATTTTGTCTATTGTCAGTTTACAGCTATGGAAGCTTATTTCCATAAATTGCTTTTTATGCGTAATTGCGACTTTTTATCTCACAATTCTGAATTTTTTTTTTTATCTTACAATTCTGATGTTTCTTTCAGAGATAACAAGTCACAATTACCCTTTCGAATTCTGTTCATAATTCTATTGTTCTATAATTTTTTTTATTTCCATGGTGGAAAAAAGCTTCCATACGAAGCAGTTTTTAATTTATGAAATCAAACTGATATTTTTTACAATGCTTGACAATTTTGTTATATGAATAGTCAACCATTAACAACGTTTCGGTGCATGATTTAAAAAAAAATATCGTCTGCGTTAATATCGTAATTGTTGTTTAACGATGTGCGATTTGACATTATCGAGCATTTTGCAAAAAGCACATCTACAGAGTGCAGTGCATTATGTGAAGTTTAGACTAGTGCGCGTACGTTCCTTCACGGCATGATTCAGTCTAATAAAATACATTTAGAGAGATCACAAAATTCAAGATATGGGGACAGAAAATGTATATATTTATATAATTTCATATAGCTAATCAATATCACACAAAGAGTGCAGTTTTTTCTCCAAAAATCACCATGATTACAAATTTAATATTGATTTTTTTACAACACAGTTAAAAAAAACAAGAAGTTAATTAAGAGACTTACGTTTTAGACGCCATAACTGGCTGTTTTTGTGCTATTTCGACGACAAAAAGAACTCCAGACACAGCCACAGCACTGTTTAGCGTCTCTGAGCAACTTGACGGTGTTTCGTTCCCGAATGAATCACTCGTTTAAATGATTCGGTCGCAATGACTCACTAATTAACCGTGACTTGCTGCCACCTACTGGCGGTTTTAATTTCACATTTAAAGTTTCCATCAAAGTTGTCCTAAAACCTAAAAGCGTTCTTGTCTTAGGATTATTTTATTATTATTATTTAGATCATTTTGAATAACGGTGTTTAAAGTTATATTAAAACATTTTTATTTTAATTACATATTTATGCATTTGCAATTGCAGGTTAATCATTCATGTTCTGCACTAAACAGTAGTGTGTGTAAATACATCTAAACGCTACTTCAGACGCAGCTTCTGTGTTTCCTCTGCATTGCAACGATGCATTTTGTTGATACTGATTTAATTTGCTTGGTAACAGCCCAAATGTCTTATTATTCTAATTCAATGATTAAATGCAAGAATTTGTGTCAAAAGATAAAGCACACTTTTTAGAAAAATGGCTTTATAAACGTAAAAATGCCCATTAAAAGGTAAAAACGTATTGTAAAAGATTAATTTCTATCAGTGTGAACTGGCCACACTGAACATGAAGAATATCAAAAACTTTAGGAGTCAGCTGTCCACGGCAAAATATCGAAAATATCGAGATATTATTTTTTGTCAATATCGCACACCCCTATTTAAGTGAACCTCTTAACGCTTAAAGTGCAAAAAGCGCAAAAATTCTTATGCAAAAGTTTCTCCAATGCTCTTCGGCAGTGAAACCGAAGTACGTATAAAGCTTGGCTACACCAACGCAATCATTATTTTCAATTATTGCCCTTGATATTGTAATAAGGATTATTAACGTTGATTAATAGAATGCATTAAAAAAAAAAAAAAAAAAGAAAAAAAAAAAGTCTGTATCTGGCGAAAAAGCACATCATATTCGTATAGGCAAAAGATAAAACAAGCTGAGCACTGTTTATGAATGTGTTTATTGCCTTTTGGTTATCTTAGCAGCATGGTTATTCAACTTGGAAGTAAATTATATACAGAAAGCAAGTGAAGAATGTTCCCCAAATCCTGTTATGATCACTAAAGCTGTCTACACAACTAAATAAATCTCTTGCATTGTGCTGTAACTGCACTGATGGCACAGTGCATGAGAGTGCAGAATTTGTTGGGCATTTTTGTTCATTTGTCAATGAATGTGTGACACTCACCCACCGCCCCATCAGGTGGGGCGATCTTCATGGGGTAGGGGGGCACGTGAGCCGTGTCGGGGCCGCCGTCTTTACAGGGGCAGGTGAAGGGGATTCGCTCCTGGTTGCAAGCGAACTTGATGAACTTGCTGAGCTCCTCCTGCGTGAACATCTCGAGCGCGGCCCAGAAGAACTCAATGTGCTGGTCCGTCTCCATCAGTCCCACCTGATACATAGTGTGAGCCTGGATCGACGTGATCAGGAGAATGAGTTCGGTTAGTTAACTAGTTGGACGGTCCTGTTTGCACATTTGGTAAGCAAACGTGTAAAAAGTGGCATAATGTACAGTCAGTGGCATGTAAATGAAATTAAAATGCTTTATAATTTAAATATACATTAAGTGCAACCCACTTAGTTAGGGCTTAAAGGGAGAGTTTACCCAGAAATGAACATTTGCTGTTAATTTACTCCCCCTCAGGCCATCCAAGGTGTAGGTGACTTTTCTTCTTTTTTTATTTTTTAGGTGAATTGGTCTTTGGGGCATTCATAAAATGCAAGTCAACGGCCACTGACGCTTTTGAGAGTCAAAAAAGCCCATAAAGAAACACAAAATGAACACCCGTGGCTCCTGACGATATATTGAGGTCTTATGAAGCGAAACAACTGGTCTGTGCAAGAAAATCAACATTATTTACGACATTATTACCAGAGCCTCAGGCAAACGGGGAAATGCGATTCTTTTCTGCGAACTGGTTCTTTCGGACAGTTCGTTTTAACGAACTGATTCAAATAACAGTTCACCAGTACAGAATCACTTAACGTATACGCAACTATATTATTTAAATATCCAATAATCACGTGAAATGGATGTTTTACATGTCTAAAGCATTTCAAGTGAATAAACTAGTCTTAAATCACATAAACCCTGAGAAACCATAGAAACGTTAAATTGGTTCTTCGGTCCGAGTCGAACTGTTTGCTCAGTTCAGTGACTGCTGGAGGAACTGGAGCGCTGAATGATTCATTCATCATAGGATCAGATACGCCAGTATTTCGGCTCATTTCCAGTCCGAGTGACTGAAAGTGAGTTTTGATTGAGTAGCTTGTAGATCTGTGCTGCTCCAGCCGTGAATTGTTTCATACGCTTCAGTTTAATTTTTGCCAACATTTCAATCAAAACCTTCCATCGAAAGTTGTCCTAAAACGAAAATGCGTTCTTGTCTTAGGACAACTTTGATGAACGTTTCTGATCCACTTCAACTGTAATTCACTAAAAATAACCGTTTCAAAAAAACGATTCGTTTGCAAAACGGACACTATGAACTGTTTGTTCATTATTTCAGGTAATAACGTTGCAAATAATGTTCAGTGTCTTGCACAGACTGATCGTTTCGCTTCATAAGACCACATTATATCATCAGGAGCCACGGGTATTCATTTCGTGTTGCCTGTATATGCTTTTTTGACTCTCAAAGGGACAGTAACTGCTGACTTGCATTTTAAGAATTCCCAAGGATCACGGTTTCAGCTAAAAATCTTCCTTACTGTACTGAAGACAAAAAGTCACCTACGTCTCAAATGGCCTGAGGGTGAGTAAACGAACCGAAAATTTCTTTGTGCAAACTATCCCTTTATGTGCACTTCTTTTTCACGGGGGACTAGAAGTACACTACCGTTCAAAAGGTTGGGATCAGAACGATTTTTAATGTTTCTTATGCTCATCAAGGCTGCATTTATTTGATCAAAAATACAGAAAAAAATGTAATATTGTGAAATATTATTACGATGTAAAATAACAAATTTATTCCTGTGATGCGCAGCTGTATTTTCAGCATCATTACTCCAGTCTTCAGTGTCACATGATCTTCAGAAATAATAATAATATGCCGATTTATTATCAGTGTTGAAACTGTTGCTGCTTCATATTTATTTGGAACCTGTGATACTTTTTTTCAGGATTCTTTGATGAATAAAAAGTTAAAAAGAAGAGCATTTATTTAAAATAGAAATCTTTTCCAACAATATACACTACCGTTCAAAAGCTTGGTGTCAGTCAAAACTTTTATTCAGCGAGGATGTGTTAAATTGTTAAGAAGTGATAGCAAAGATTTCTATTTTGAATAAATGCTGTTCTTTTTAACTTTTTATTCATCAAAGAATCCTGAAAAAAGTATCGCAGTTTCCAAAAAATATATATTTGGCAGCACAACTCTTAGATAATTCTAATAATAAATCAGCAAATTATACTGATTTCTGAAGATCATGTGACACTGAAGACTGGAGTAATGATGCTGAAAATACAGCTTTGCATCACAGAAATAAATTATATTTTAAAGGATATTAAAATAGAAACCATTATTTTATATTGTAATAACATTTAGCATTTTTTTTCTGTATTTTTGATCAAATAAATGCAGCCTTGATGAGCAGAAGAGACTTATCCCAAACTTTAGACCGGCAGTGTAAGTCAACAAAGATGAAGGCAAGCTGTAAAATTTCAACGCTGCAAATGAAAGAAGAGGAGAGCGAGTTGAGCGGTTCGCTGTCTGACCTTGAGGAACTCCAGGTCGATGTCCGGCAGGCCGCAGGTGCGCAGCTCCATCTCAGCGGGGCTCAGTAAGGTCAGGAGCTGCAGGGGTATGATGGAGCCCAGACCGGCGCGGACGGCCGACATACACTCCACATTCTGCAGCTCCCGCCGGCGCAGATCTCGCACCGCTCGCACATACACATCTCTATTCTCCCAGCTGAACAAACACAAGTACATGCATTAGAGACCATCGATCTATTAACTTCCCAACACATTTAAAAAGCACTTCGCATTTCTTTGCTCAAGAATCCCTGCAATAAGCACAGTACATCCATTTCTGAGTCCAATATAAAGTAAAACTTAAGCTTAAGATAATTCACCCAAAAATGGTAGCCACTGACTTCCATAGTATTTGTTTATATACTATGGAAGTCGATGGCTACCGTCAGCTGTTTGGTTACATTCTTTAAATTATGACAAAAAAAAAAAAATCTTAGCGATATGCTATTTACACTATGTGCAAATAGCAGGCTCTTCTGCTATTTATACTAATTATTGCAAATAGTGGCACATATCTGCACCTCAGTATTATAGTACATTATAAAAAAGGATACAATAATAACATACTGAGTGTAAATTATAATTTTAATTCAAATTATTAAATGGATGCCACTTTATTGGGACAATAAAGCCGTCCCCATACTTTACTTTCAACTTTTCGATTATTTCCTATATTTTTATTGAAGATGTGATTTGTGACCCTGCAGCACAAAAGCAGTCATAAGTCACTGGGGGATATTTGTAGCAATAGCCAACAATACATTGTATGGGTCAAAATTATCAATTTCTCTTTTATGCCAAAAATCATTAGGATATTAAGTAAAGATCATGTTCCATGAAGATATTTTGTAAATGTCCTACCGTAAATATATCAAAACTTAATGTTTGATTAGTAATATGCATTGCTAAGAACTTCATTTGGACAACTTTAAAGATGATTTTCTCAATATTTAGATTTTTTTGCACCCTCAGATTCCAGATTTTCAAATAGTTGTATCTCAGCCAAATATTGTCCGATCCTAACAAACCATACATCAATGGAAAGCTTAACCAAACAGACTACGGTAAGCGATTCACCATCTCTGCCACTGGAGATGTTGTTTTACAGCCGCCTGTAAATAGCCTCTCTGCCTTAAAATATCCTCTTTTAGGTTCAACAGAAGAAAGAAACTCGTGCAGGATTGGAACGAATTGAGGGTGAGTAAATGATGAACCGTCCCTTTAAACAGGTCAGTCGATGGCTCCTACCTGACAGCGATGTCACTTCCTCCGTGGCACAGCTCTACTTCCTCTCCGGTCATGGTGATGTAAGTGAACGTGCAGCAGGGACGGCTCGGTGAATCCGGGCTCTCGCTCAAGTGGCTCTGCGACGAGACTTCAGCACACAACGCTTCCAGCTCCGCCTCATCGGCCAACTGTGACGATACGAGAACAAAAGAAGTAGACCAGCATCCTTTTAAAAAGTGTACTGATTAGGGAAATTATATATTTAAGTATGAACCGATCGCAATGCTTTCTGACACTTAATTGCATGTCAATTGCAATTACATGACATGTATTATAGTTACATTTACGTTAAATGCAATTGAACTTTAGAGTGTTTTATGATCTACTTATATAGGAAGTAAGTACATTTTTATATGCCATTTCATAATTTATGGTACACTCATTTAAAAACAACAATTTATGGTAAACTAAAGGTTACATTTTCTTTTAAGGTGTCCGTAATTATACACTGAAGTACCGAGTAATATTAATTAACTACATGTACTTACTATATGTTTAGGGTTACTTGCATGTAATTATGCATGATTTATTGTTATTATAATAGTAAGAACATGTAACGTGTGTAACAAGGACACCTTAAAATAAAGTGTTACCAAGCTAAAATATACTTCTGTTAAAACTTGAATGTCATGTATTTAAATATATGTGTAATAACACATTCATCATGAAGCTGCGATTAAGTACATTTAAATTATATTAACCTTTAAAATCTGATATCAAATAATAAGCTACTGATAAAATTATAATCAAGTACTTGATTTAGTATGTTAGTCAAAGTGCAAATAAGTGTACTACTTTAAAGCATTTTATCTTGCTTTAAAAGATTATTAAAACGATGATTTAAAATGTAAAATAAAACTTGACATTATTACAAAGGTTACTTTTTAAAAGTGTACTTAAGTGTGTTTAGAAACAGTCATGAAACTCTCTCTTTAAGTCACTTAAGTGGCCTTTTATTTCGTTAATATATTATCAGCAGCAGTGCTATTTTAATATCATTGAAATAATAAAAACTATAATACTATGTGGAATCAGTATTTTTATTTTCCTTTTAATTTTTGTTACAATTTTTGTAAGTTTGTTGGGTGTTGTTTTTGTCATTTTTTTTATTTTTGTTTGTCTATATAGTCTTTTAAAATAATTTCTATTAATTAAATTGTATTTATTTAAATTGTAATTAATTATTTCACATGATGAATGCTGCCTTTTTATTTCAGTTACCATTTATTTTATTTCAAGTAACAAAATATATATTATATATAATATATATTTTTTAAATTATTATTCTTATTTTAGTTTCAGTTTACTATAAGAACTCTGATCTATATATACAAACACACACACACACACACACACACACACACACACACACTCACACACGAGCGCACACTCACACATGCACACACACACACACACACTCTCTCTCTCACACACACT